CTCGAATGAGAAGAGACGCTCATCGTTGGTTTAGTACCTATGTATGGGTGGATCTCCCGACCTTCGAGCAGGACTTTATGAACCAATTTGATTATGTCCACCCTGAGCAAGCGTTGTACATGATCAAGGACCGAGTGCAAAAACCGCTTGAATCCGTCGCGGAATATCGAAATCGGTTCTACAGAATGTTCGTAAAAACTGAGCGAGGTGAGCAAGTAGGGAGAGATCTGTTCATTGACGGACTTCGCAGCCGGACAATAAGGGCTAAGTTGTGAAAGCAGTTTCCCTCCATCACCCATACGCTACAACAAATTATGGCCGCTGCGGAAGAAATGGAACGGAAGTTCGCAGCGAACTTCCTGGAAGGAGAAGATTACCCTAGAGACGGAGATTCGACTGAGCTCTCTCGAGCAAGAGCAGAGCTGGCCGCTTTACATAACAAATTTGAAAACATGGGGTCTTTATCAGGACCTGTCACCTATATGGAACAGATAGGCCCCAAACGAGTAATCGTAAGTGAGACTCCTAGCATCTCTGCTCCTATGATGCCCCCGCCTGTCAGGGCATTACCCCCGCCGCCGGTTGAGGTTCCGGTACGATCAAACGAATCAGCGGCCATTTTCGAACTAACCAAAACTTTGATTAGTTTGATCCAAGAAAGCAAAAAGGAGCAGCGAGAGCACAATGCTCGGCTGGAAGCCATGATGAGGAACATGCGACCCATTGTGGTGCGTGCCCCTCCGATGCAGCAAGGATTAGCCCCGACCCCTGCTCTAGGGGGAGCTGCGAACAATCTGAATGTCTGCTACGCCTGTCATCAGCCCGGACATCTAGCCCACGATTGCCCCCACCGACCCCCACAACAGCGGATCGGAGTCGCACCTATGGTTGCGGCCCCCATCGCCAACGGACCTGGACGAGTTGGAGCCCTGATGGAAGAAATAGAGGGTGGGGGAAGTGCCCTGGCTACCTCGGAAGAGGCCGCCAAACTAATCCCGCTAGATCAGTACGTATCGCTGGGATATCCCGGGCTTGGAATGATCGGAACAATTAGACCAGCACCAGAACCAAAAGAGGTGGCGGAGTGGCGACTGTCCCCAGGAGAAATGGAGTCGGGAGGACCCACATTTGTCACAGGGGAGATCGATGTATTAAACATCATCCGAGCTTTGGACCATTGGATTCCCCTTCCGATTGGTCATCTGCTCTCGATCTCCGAGCAAGCCAACGAGCGAATGTTACAGCATTGCAAAGCGAACAGAAAGCGATTCGCCCTTGGCCGAACCCCGAACGCAAAAGCCAAAAGCCCCGCGCCCGAAGAAAACCCCGCAAGTACTTCGGATCCGATACGTGTAGGTTTAATCCAGAAAGATGATCATTTCCTACGGATTAAACCAATTCCGTGGAAATCCGCCGAGTGTGATATAGAAATTTGGGGAATTCCTTACAATGCTATTATAGATTCAGGAGCGGCTGTATTGGATATCTCACTGAGAGTGGTCGAAAGGGCAGGTAGGAAAAACGACTTGATCACGCTTTCTGAGAAAGATCAACTCATTTCGGCCGACGAAGAAAGAATTAAAACCGTGGGAAGAATGACCAATGTCGCTTTCCGATTGGGTAAAGTGCATGCGCTTGGGGATGTCGTAGTACTAGATGTCAATACGTACGACGTTCTCTTCGGACTTCCCGCTTTGTGGCGTTACGAGCAAACCTGGACTTCGAACGACGATCGATCGTCCTCCAAAATACAGGAGGAAAACCCTACGTTGTGCCTATGCAATTGACCCTTCGCACTACTATTAACGCGGTTCCGCGGGTTTCGCCGATGATGGCAGGGACTCTCCGCATGATCTCCTGGGAGAAATCCGCAGAAGGAGAGTCATCAACAGATGATGCGGAAAGCAGTGACGAGGATGATCCGAAGATCTTGAAATTAGCACGACAACGTGTTTGTTACCCGCCACCCAAAACGATAGCGAGAACGATGCAACTAACCAGCCGAAAAATCCAAAGGACCAAGGCGATGATCTTGGGTGCTCCCTTGTGCAGATTTCGAGGATGGTTGATTCTTTGGAACCCCCTCAAACTTTGTACGAAGGAATCGCCCCTCTCCTCGCCCGGTATAGCGACAAGAAGCATTACTGTGACATTACGGATCTACCCAAGTCCTTACTAACCTCGGCTAAAGAAGTGTGATTATTACGCTTAGGGACGGAAGCAAGCTCTCTAGAACCCCCGGGGCATTTTGAAACGGAAACCGACGGACTGGGGATAAAGATCGCAACTAAGGAAGTGCCATGGCAGGATGTTTGTGACGGGATTACCCCGAAAGGACACGTGGCAATCTGAGAAGAAGATGCTCAGATGATGGTCACAGTGTTCTCCTGGCGATCGGATCATTCATTCATCTCGACGCCTCCACCCGACTTGACAAAACACGCGAACACGAAACAGATTGACGTTCGGATCTGGGACCAACTCTTTGAACTGCACGTTCCACAATATGTGTCGGATGAAATCCACCGGGTAATTGCGGATATTTCTTACGGAATATCAAGGAGCGATTAGTGTGTCAGACACTGACATTGGGTTGTCGTTAGTAATCCAACACGAAATTCAGACAGGAAATCACTCCCCGATTCATTGCAAACCTTATCGCTATTCCTTGATTGAACGCAAAAAGACTCTCGAACGAATTCGGGAGTTCGAAGCCAGCGGTTGGATTGAACCCGCTACTGGAACCCTGGTCCTTTCCCGTAGTGTTAGTACCGAAGAAGAACAGAGCGATTCGCATTTGTATTGATTATCGCAAGCTGAATGAAATCACAATCAAAGATGTGTATCCCCTCCCCCGGATTGATGATCTGTTGGATGCGATTGGATGCGCTAAATATTTCAGCAAGTTTGATATTCGGCATGGCTTCCATCATATTCTGGTAAGGGAAGAAGACCGGCCGAAAACGGCCTTTGTGTTGTTTGAGGGCACATGGCAGTGGCTCCGGTGTCCGATGAGGATTTGCAATGCGCCTGCCACGTTTCAGCGAGCGATGAACATGACGTTCCAGAACTTCGTCAGCAAGACACGGCTGACGCAAAGAATGATCAACTTCGGCGTGATCGTATACATGGACAACATCCTGGTCTATTCGGAAACCTATCACGGGTACGCGCAACACATCGAATGGACATTGGGTGCATTGAGAGACGCTGGGTTCAAGATTGCGCTTAAGAATAGCGAATTTTTCCTCTCGGAAATTTCGTTCTTGGGCTATGTCGTGACACGTGGAGGATTGCGGCCAGTTTCGAGAAAACTTGCGGCGGTGAACGAAGCTCCGGTTCCTACGTCACTGATGCAGGTTCGAGCCTTCTTGGGACAGGCGTCGTACTACCGGCGCTTCATCAAGGGCTTTGCCGCGATTGCACGACCACTAACGAATTTGCTACGGAAGGACCAGCCTTTTAGCTGGGACGCGGAATGCCAGCAGGCCTTTGCAACCCTCAAGGACGCTCTGGCAACGGCCCCTATTTGATTCGACCGGACGCCCCGAAGGCATGATCGGCTGCGGCGTGGGGGACGTAACCCCTCTCCACGCATCGATCCGAGCATGCAAACCGCGACTTACAAAATTTCAGCAAAAGAAAGAGAGGGAGGGCGGGAGAGACGAAGTGCAAGAAGAAAGATACAGTTACAATGGCGCCCGCCCAAAATTACAGTTACACACACGATTAAGGGCGCCCACTAATCAGAGTACCGTTGCAGCCGCATGAAGAAGCGCGTAGACAAAAGGCGCCGCGCGATAGAAAAAATCCTAATTACTGAATTCCTAAATTCCTATCTAATGCGAAAAAGCAAAAAGCATAAGTTCCAGAAGGAAAGTCCAAAATTCCGGGGGCTCGATAAAATTTAAAAAAGATTAAAAAAGAATTTCAAAAAGAACGAAGCAATTTTCCGCGCGAAGTCCGCGCCCAAAAAATCGAAATCGAATCGAAAGAAACGACGTCAACCTTTATTGATCGCGCGCGTGGTGGCCCGCCAGACATCCATCCGACCAGTCACTCCACCGGCCGTCTCAAGACACACCCGACCCCGTGCTTGGTCATTCGGAAAAGAAACGACAAAAAAGGACGAAAAAATGAGGATACTGATGCAATTTTCCACCGATCCCAATCTCCCGTAATTGGCCCAATCTTCCCAGCTTAGGACCCCTCATTGCAACCGCGCAGAAAATCGCGCGTTACAGAAAGTGGTTCGTCACATATGTGACGCCCAGGGGGTTCCAATATTAGCAAGCTCTTGCTTGCTTGTTGACACGTGTCGATTTCTCTACTTGATCGACACGCGGAACACTTTCTTCTATGCCACTTATCGTTTGATTGCGTGTGGACGTCATCCAACGTGGCAACACCGCTCTTCTACTAATTCCTCAGATTGGGCTCTCGATGACCCAAGGACGGGATCTTTCTCGTGCCGTCGCCGCGACACGCGTCCATTACCGGTTACATCAGTAATTAATCGGGAGGGGGAAAGGGAGTCCGTGCATAGCAGCATGGCGGGGTGGAGGGTTTATGGGTAGCGGGGGCAGAAGGCTTTCCATTACAGCTACAGTCTCCGGAAGCTCTTGGTAGCGCACGATGCGGTGAAAGCGGGGGAAGCGATTGCCAGTGCGAGGGAGGGATGCGAGATAATCAGGAGAGAGGGTGGTGAGAGTCCGAAAAAGTGTCGCGCGGAAACGATCGCGATCTTTGCATGCAGGGATGGTCCCCGTTATCACACAGTAAACCTCGATCATGTTGTGACCTCGCCACGCGGCACTAAGGAGCAAGACATGGAGGCAGAAGGCTGGGACGACGCATCGAATGGAGGGGTGGGGATGCACCACTGTAGCGAGGCGAGCAGCGTAGAAGTGGCGGAAGGTGTCGTGGGGAAACGGATTGGAGGGGAACGTAATGGGAGTGGTGAGCTGGCGGAGGGTGAGGTAGTCAAGGGGACGGCGAGAGAGTGATCGTGGACGAAGACCGATCGCCCGTATCGGTACGTTGGCGAACTGGGGGACGGGTTGAGGAGGAGGGGGATCAGCTCCGTCGCCGCGCTGATGGGGTCGGAGTCGTGGCTGTGAGGTCGCCATCTTCAGGCCGGGGTGGCTCCGGATCCCGACTTGGGTCGTCGTGGGTGCGCAGACTCGCCGCGCTTGCGAATTCCAACTCCTTCCCGGCCGCGATCTCTCCTCTTTTGCGGGCCGCCTCGGGATCCTCAGCCTCCGTACCCGTACGCAACGCTTCTTCTGGCACGGCTTCCCACTCCGATCCAGCAGGCTCTTCGTCGTGCTCCTCTTCTCCTTCCTCGCTTTCTTCTTCTTCTTTGCTCTGTTCCCCCTCGCTATGCTCGCTATAGCTTCCTTCTTCGGGGGTTTCGTCTTCTTTCCCGAGCTCTTCGTCGCTGTTCCCACCTTCTTCCAATCCGTCATCATCTTCGTCACTCCCGGTACTTTCTTCCTCCTCCTCTTCTTCTCGAATGGCCGCAAGCTGCTCCGCCGTAGGATGCCTGAAGAAGGCATGATCGCGAGCCGTCCGGGGATCCAGATATTGTTGCTGCGACGACGGGATGCGCTCTGCGGCTCCCTCTACACAAGCCGACCACTGAAGATAGGGCGTCAATGCGCGAGAAAGTACATGGGGAATTGGATGCTCGTCGTCTTGCGAGATGATGTCGAGGGGGAGATCGTCCGCCAGCTGCGCTACCGGGATCGTGAGCACTTGCGTGATGAGGTTCTGATGACCGGGCCGCACTGTACTGAATAGAAATGCGAGGAGCTCTCCCTCCACGTTGGTTCGCCAGGCCTGGAGGAACAGCAACTCTAGGCGCTCTATGCAAAGCGGGTGCGCTTCGTCCTCGATCCACGTCAGCCGTACCTCAACCAAGCACAATGAAAGCTCGATGAAGTCTTCGCGCCACAGGACCCAATGGGGAGGATGGATATCGGGGACAACAAGGGGCTTTAGACAGTAGGAAAGGCGAGGATGGATATCGGACTGCCAGAAGGTGGGGAAGGTGGAGGGGAGATCGAAAACGGAGATCGGAGAGAGACTCATCGGGGATGGGGAAAGGGTACGAGGACAGGGAGCTCTGTCGGCGGATCGCGCTGGTACATTCGAAGGCCGTCGTATTCGATTGCTCGTGACATCGCGATTGTATCCTCGGTGCGAGCCAGCAGCTGAGTCCACTCGGCGACCAGATCGTTCGCCCACATGCGCAGCGACGCCTTCACCGCCGAATGTCGCAAAGGAAGAAGTGTGGAGAGATCGCCACTGAAGTTGATGACGACCGATATGCAACTGACACCTAGCACCGCCCGCTGATGAACTGCTACCGCCTCGGCCAGTACCACCACGTCAGGACGGCCTTCAATTCTAAACACCGCCGCTGCATACACGCCTTCCGTGCAGAAGAAGTGCATAAGCCGCTGAAGATCTGGACTGAGGCGGGGATGATGGACTTGCCGGATCGTCAACCGATCACGGGGCGCAAGKGATGCTTCGCTGAGGGCTTTCTCCTGCAGAAAGTTCATGGCGATGGCGAAGGTGACGGGGAGACAGGGAGGGAGCAAGATGAAAAGGGAGATGGCGGAGAGTCAGAGTTGTCGTCTTCGGCTTCCTCAGAATGAGAGATCGAGGGAGAAGGGGACGGAGCACAGGGGAGGAGGCGAAGATAGGACATGTGGCGGGTGATAGGGCGCGCTGATCGGCTGTCAGAGACTTCAGGGGCGAGACGCACAGTGTCCACGCCGTTGGGGCCGAGCTCAATCACGCGGTATCGCCCGAAGAATCGTGGTGCTAGCTTACCCTGGCGAGCACATTTCCTCACCTACACTACGTCCCCCAATTTGTACTGGGGCTGCGGACCCGCATTCCCATTTCGGGCCTCGTAGCTCCGGACCTGTCGTCCCTGGGCTAGTTCGGTCATTTTCTGTCGCTTTCGGGCTAGCGTGGGCAGCGACCGTTCCATTAAYTCTAGGTGTCGTTTGGCCTTGTCCCGAGCCGTGGCCCTGGTGGGTCGTTGGTTCAATGTAGACTCATCCGGGAGGTTTGGTATCGAAACGCAAGCGACACTATTGGTCCTTAATTGGAAGGGGCTCAACCCCGTTGATTCGTGGGGCGTTCCGCGATGGACCGCCAGGATGTGATCACCGATATCGGGCCAAGGTCTCGGATCCCGTGCCACGATGTTTCGTCGCAACGCTGTCTTTATCACCCGGTTAGCGTTTTCGACCAGCCCATTGGATTGTGACATGTGGGGTGCAGTGTTCCGTATGGCGACGCCATGTAGGACCAGATTCCTTAACACTTCTCCCCTAAATTCAGCCCCGTTGTCGGTCAGGATTTCTTCCGTATCCTGATGCATCCCGAGGAAACGGTTGACATATCGTGCGATTTCTGTGGCTTGCCACGTGCGACAAGGCTACGCTTCGATCCATTTCGAGAAATGGTCGACAAATACCAATAGGACTGAATATTCGCAACTATTAGGGCCAGGGGGCACCACTATGTCGGTAGTGTCCATGCTTACTCTTTGAAATGGCCGTTCAACAACCGTGGGCACTATCGACCTTGACGGCTGAATCGGCGCTTTATCCGCGGCGCAGACTTGACAGGTGGCTACGATGTACTTCACATCGTCGCGGATATTGGACCAGTACCACTCATTTTTGTCGATAGCGGACTCCGTGATTCATACAGCAAAATGAGCCGTAGTTTCCTCGTGAGCTGTCTTAACCCAGTCATACCGCATGAACGGATGCGGCACTACCATCCAAATCTCATTGCCATCCGTTTTTCGTTTTTCTAATCTACCTTCTACCCATCGATAGTCCCAAGCCCTTTCGTTGGCCCTCCTTCGATCTTCCTTGGTGAAATCCTGGAGGGGGTTACCTACTAGGGTGGCAATTAAGGCAATATTCGTCCACACTTCGGCCCTTCATAACTTTCGGGTCTTTTCCAATCCTTCTGACGTGGCATCCAAAAAGCGAGCCTCGGTCGGAATTTTGTCGGTCCGGCACAAGAGGCACAACCATGGTTTACTATCGTTCCTGTACCTGCGCCACGTGGCGGCCCCCGACGGCCTAACTTTTCAGGACCCTCTCCACCACGGAGGAATTTTCCTGTAACCCGTCGCCCACAGTGTCCCGGCCCCTTCGGACTGTGAGACCCTTGAGCGCGCGCGCTCCTCCCCCCCCTCGTTCGCCTAATTGCATTCATACCCCTAAGACTACCCCACTTCCCCCAAAAATCCTTGGCACACCTCTTTTCGCACTTCCAGACCCACACTCCACTCCGATCAGGAAGTCGCGCTGGGCGTGAGGTTGGGTGTCACAACCTCCCTATTGCAACATTGGAGCTCTGCCCACTGAGGTACCATGTACTTGCTTACCAACTGACCGTCTCGAAGGTAAGACGCCAAGCATGCCACAGGCACGATCGTGGGGGCAATGGGAGTTGAACCCACAACCTCCGGAGTGCTGCTTGAACGCCTTACGATGTTCTCTATCCTCGTAAGAACTTGACAAATGGGGAAACACCCGCTGCGGTCTGCCTGTGACCAAATCAGGATGGATCAAGGACACCTTCTTCTCCTCCCCC